ATATAGTAGGTTAGAAATTTCTCGTAAAACTACTAAGTAGTATGCTAGTATTCTAAACGTTAGTATTAGTTAACGTATTAGGCTTAAGCAGGGACAACGAAGAAGAACTATTACTATCTTTAGAATTCGCGTTACTATACTTAATTACAAGAAGGCTATTATTAATAAAACTATTAATAGAGAGGGATTAGAGCGCGTTTTCGTTAATCTTAATATCTTAATAGCCTAAGTAGTGCTTAACTAGGTACTAAAGCTAGGTAAGAATAACGGGTTAATAGACTTTATAGTCTTTCTTAAATTACTAGTTAATAGCGTCTAGGTCGTTCTACTTACTAGCAGGGGGCTTTAGGATAATAATATTAAGGTTCTAAGAAAGAAGTAGAAGCTTACTAAATACTTTACTAACGTTTACAAAGAAGTAGTAAATATATCTCTAATACTTATACTAGATACCTTAGTGCTGCTAGATCTCTATAAAGACGTAGACGCAGGTAATAAGTATCTCTTTAATATACGTAAGAGTAGAGAGAGTAGTAGATATAGGTCTAGAATTAAGATAGTTTTCTAAACCCTACAGAGGTATATAGCTAGGCTCCTCTAAGTTCTTTACTTAATTATCTTAGTAGGTTCCGCACTCTTCTCTCTAAACACCTAGCTTAAACTAGCAATAGTTGTAGACGTTGCAGGTTTTAAGCTAAATCTTGTTTAGATACTTATAGAAAGTAGTAATTAGAGCCTTATTCTATTTAGATATTATAGGTTCTTATAGAAAATTAGGATAAGTAGAATCTAGAATAGAAGGCGAAGTTAGTATATTGTATAGTTAAGTATTCGCTTCTACCTTAGCTGTAGTAAAGTTATCTAGCGTAAGTTTGTTATTATCTAATAAAAACTATTACTATACGCCCTACTAAGAGGATAGAGGTACTAAGAGTAAGAACTAACTTAATAAGTCTTACTAAGAGTTCTGCTAGAATAAGGGAAGCGTAGAGGAAGAGAACTAACTTAATAAGTCTTACTAAGAGTTCTGTTAGGATAAGGGAAGGGTAGAGAAAGAGTACTAACTTAATAAGTCTTGCTAAGAGTTCTGCTAGAATAAGGGAAGAGTAGAGAAAGAGAACTAACTTAATAAGTCTTGCTAAAAGTTCTGCTAGAATAAGAGAAGAGTAGAGAAAGAGAACTAACTTAATAAGTCTTGCTAAGAGAACGTTAGCAAGTCGCTAGTAGAGATAGACGGCTAGGTATTAGTCGCGGTATTAGACTATAGCGTAAATAGTATACTAGGTATAGAGAAGAGGTTATAAGAGAAGAGATTCTTCTAGAGTTATAGAGTAGAAGTTACTATAGTCTATTCTACTGTAGCATAAGAGCTTAGCCTCTAAAGAAGAGAGGAGAGAGGGTTAAGAACAGGGGAATTAGTAATATCTAAAAGCGCCTGCCGCTTTCTAGGTAGAGATTGCGTAGCTTTATCTGCACGCTATTAGTAGTAGATAAGTTAAGAATTACGACAAGAACCGCACGTTTTCTTCTATTTTCTGCTCTTAAACCTATTTGTTGTATGCTAGAGAGGTTAATTACAATAATTATAAAGAGGTAGTAAGAAATTAGATATTATAGGTATAAGTGTTATTATATAAAGAGGTAGTAATAGAAAGAGAGGCGAACAATTTTAGTATATATTTTCTATATAGAATATTAGAATAACTAATACCTAAACTAATACTACGCAGGTTTATTTCTAAACTTTTAATATTCTATAGCTAGAGAGAGTGCGTAGAGCTTTAATTAGATATAGCTATATAGTAGTGTATATTTCTACTAGCTACAGCGCGTAGGTTAGTTTCTAAACTTTTAATATTCTATAGCTAGAGAGGCTACGTAGTACTCTAATTAGCCGTAGCTATGTAGTAGTATATATTTCTATTATCTAATTAGCTAATTAATTGTACCTAATTATACCTAATTTTAATTGTACTTAATTACTTTTTAGCAGAACGTTAGAGTCCCTAATTAGGTAATTTTTTCGTCTAAATTAGAGAATTCTGCTAATTTAAATTAGGTAATTTTTTCGTCTAAATTAGGAACTAAAGTTTCGCTAGCGTTCTGCAAACTCGATTGTAATTACTTCGCTCGTACCTTACTACGCAATAAATAAGATATCTTAAGTTTAGATAACTTTATTCTTTAAGAGTATCTAGATTCTAAAAATATTTAAGAAGTTTTATTCTAGTAGATACTTAATATAAGTACGTACTTCTAGTTTATTAGCTTTTTTAAAGTTCTTTCTATAAATATATACTTAATAGCTAATAGAGACGTAATAAGCTACTAATAGTTTATAACTTATTACTACCTTATATAGAGTTTTCTAGCTATTTAATTTAATTAGCATAGTGTTAAGAATCTAAATAGCTATAATAAATAGCTCTAAAGCTAGCTTTTTAGATAATCTAGCTATAATTCTTATTACTTAACTTTTTATAATTATTACGTTTCTAGCTTTCTCTATATAACTATTCTACTTAGGTGTTTTAGGTAAGCTAAGCTTATATTTAATATCTAATTTAATATAGATCTTAGTAAGCTTATTACTAAAATTCTTCTTATTATTAGTTCTAAGTATAATAACTAAGTACTTAAATTAATACTATAGTTTAGTAATTATTCTATATATAGTAGATATTAATACTACTCTACTTTTTATAGGTAATATACGTTCTTTATACTAGTCTAAGAATTTATTAATTACGTAGAGTTTCTACTTATTCTTATTAAAGTAGGTTTCTTCTATTAGTAGTAGTTAAACTAAATCTATTTCTATTTAGTAGAAAAGATACTTTATAGACGTTAATCTAGATCTCTAGAAGATCTAATAATTTTTTTTTAACTATATATAGGTATTATAGTTCTTTTAGTTAACTAGAGGTATATTCTTCTTAAGCTTAAAGCTAGTAATAGCCTCTTCTAGATACGTAATAGCTTTCTTATTTAGGTATATCTATAGTTAATAGGTCTTAGCTCTAGTAGTAATTATTACTAGTTATAGATTCTTTAATAGTTAATATACTATTATAAATATAGTAAATATTTTCTATAAATTAGAGTAGCTATTTTTATCTATATTAAGTAGCTAGTATCTTTATTTATACTCTAAGTTATAGACTATATTACTAGACTTATTTTTATATAGAACGTTCTAGCTAGAGTTAAAGTAGATTTTAACGTCTTAAGAGCGCGTAAGCTCTATAACGTTTATAAAAAAGCTCTCTACTAACGCTATATAGATAAGGTGTATTAGAGTTAGTTCTAATAGAGTATTAGTCTAGAGAATTATCTTTTTCTAAGTCTTAACTCTTATAGCTTACTCTCTAGCGTATATAATAACGTTTAAGTTAGCTTCTACTATCTTTTTCTAGCTCTAATTCTCTAAGTTATAGATATAAATATTAGAGCTAGAGTTATAGATCTACCTATTAATAAGGTATAGAGCTATTAGAACTACCTTTTAGATTTCTAAAACCTTAGTTATTTTACTAAAGAAGTAGAATATAGATTTAGTAGAAGAGATACTACTTATTAGCTTATTATTATTAAAGCTTAGTAGAGTAGTACTTACTTTTAGCGTAGGTTTATTTTACTATTTAGAGGTTCTCTAATTAGTAGCTTATTTAAACTTCTTAGTCTAAACCTTATTCTTCTTTTTCTTATTAAACTTAGCCTAAATTTCTAGAATAGAGTTCTAGCTAGTTAGATAGATCTTTAGGTTAACGTAAAAGTACTAGCTAAACTAGTAATAATACCTATAGAAGTACTCTAGTATCTCTTCTTAAAACTTACTACGTTTCTAGCTCTAGTTCTATTATTATAGTACTATACCTAGTATTATATACGTCTCTAGGCTTACTATAATAGGTTTAGTAGCTCTCTATAGCTATCTAAACTCTACTACTAGGTCTAGTACTATAGAAGCTTAATTTTCTAGCTAGGTAAATAGCTATATAATTCTAAGCGTAGAGTACGCTTTATTAATTAGTTAAAGAGCCTTAAGTAGCTCTCTCTAGGCTTATATACTCTATATATCTAGTATATTAAGTTTAGCTATATAGTTAGTAATCTAAATCTATTTATTAAGCTAGTTATCTAGTTTATTACTTCTCTAGGTCTTCTAGACTTTCTTATATTATTCTAGCAGTACGTCTTAATATAATATATTAGTTATTATAACCTATTTCTTTAAGCTTACTAACCTTTTATAAGCTATATTCTTGTCTATAATATATAGTATAAGGTAGATATTAATTATTATAGTAATATATACTAATACTTCTCTTAGACCTTTCTATATAAGAAAGTACTTCTTAAGGTTCTTTTTATATTTTTCTTTCTAGTTCTAATACTCTAACTTTTTATTAGTATTAAGATTCTCTATTTTTATAGCTTCTTACTTAATTATTAATAGCGTTAGGCGTTTAGGCTTCTTCTAAATTCTTTTACGTTTTATCTTTTTTAGATCTAGGTTATAGTAGGCCTAAACTCTATATTATATAGCCTTTTTCTTTATAAGAAACTTCTAGTAAGGCTAATTCTATAGTATACTAAGTATTTTAACGACTTTTATAATATTAGTAATAGTAATAGTATTCTCTATTATAGAAATTATAGTACGTAGAGCTAATTTAATTATATATAGTATATTTCTAGAGTAACTCTAGAATCTATTAGTAATAATAAGGTATATAAGTTAGTAACTCTATCGTCTAATTATATTAAATAAACTTAGTAGGTTTAATTTATAGTAGTAGATAAATCTAGGCTTATAACTTTTAGATAAATTATAGAGTATTAAGACATAAGTTAATTAATTAAGAATACAAGAAATATAGCTATATATATACATAACTAGGTTACGTGAAGTAGTAACCATATCTGGCAACACATGCTCTCTGTATCTATGCTTTCTAGCTTATAAATATAGCTGCGTCTATACCCCGTAAGCTTGCCTAGGAGTTCTGTGTTGTCTAATAGAAAGAGTTCGCTAGTCCTTTGACGGAGAGGAGAATCGGAGGTGCCATTGTTCGTGTGTAGTGTGAGCTGCTCGATCGAATATTGTGCAAGATGTGGTGGACTGAGAGCAAGAGACTCCGTTTTATACCTGTGGGCCTCGCGCGCAGCGTTTATAGCTGTCCGCTCTCACTGCCCTTTTGCTAGTGTTGTTTGCGCCCTTTTCGATGACCATCGTCGTTGTTGAGGAGCTTTCTGGGGCTCCTTTTTCGTTGGCAGCTTCGTGCCATGGTTCGGTGGTAGCGCCGTGGTGGGCTACGCCCTCGTTATCCGCGCCCGAACCGTTCTTTTCTGTCGACTTATGCCACCTGCCCGTGGTTCTGTGATACCCTGTTCCCTTCTCTTAATTTTGGCGTCTTTTGAGCCCTTTTGTGCGTAGGCGTAGTCAGCATAACCTCTATAGGTTGGTGACTTAAAACGAGAGAAATCAATCAATCGAGCTACTACTGGCGCGAAACGAAACGTACGGCTGCACATCTTCAGAGCGGCAGGACGGGGAGAGGCGTTCATTTGGGGGATCCTCTGGGATCTCTAAAGGCGTCGAGGTTTGATCGAAAGTAAGTCTGTGTAGTAAAAGTTTCGAGCAGACTATGTTTAGATCTTCGACGTCCGCCACCGCAAGCGCCAATAGGAAGGCTTCGCCTGAAGAGATAAACTACTCGAATTTAGCTAGAGCTACACAAGGTGGTTACTGTAACTTATCCTCTTTGGTCCTGTCCCGAGTGTAGTAAATGAATCGCTTATCGTTGCTGGCGTCCTACGCGATATGAGAACTCGTCCCGTCCAGAGGACAGCTACCTACAGGAATAGCGTAAAGGGAACGCATGACGTTAGTTGCGCGGAGCTAGAATATCGAGGTGCTTTGGGGATTTTGTGGACTACATGGAGTATGACGTCAGGGCATACGCCTAGCCACGGGTTTTCTGGATCCCGTTTTCGAGCCCCTGCTAGTTTTCGTTCCTGTAACCGAGCGCGCTCCTCTGGTTCCTGTTTTTGAGCCCTGGGTCCGTCTGGTTTCCGTCTTCGAGCTGCTGGGTTTAATACTCTTTCGTTCATTTACACGTTCTATGCAAGCGGAGAACTTTTAAACAGGTTTATTTATATTAGCCAGGCACGCACCGCCTGAGAAAGCACATATTTCCCAGCGCTTAGGCAGATCAAGAATTGGTTGGTGTTTCACTGTCAGAACGTTCCAGATGTTGGTAGGATATAATTAGAAGAGAAAAAAGCCCAATCTATTATTCGTAGCCAAAACAATTTACTGACCAAAGAATATAGCGAGAGCAGTTACAGACTTCTTCCAAGGACCTTTCCGCTATTCCTCATACATCCACAAGAGTTTACTCGCCCGGCCTTGTTTCAACGCCCAGAAATTATACAACTTATCATCTGCGGCTTTGAGAGCAACTGAAGCAATGCTCTGGAGCTCCTCCGGCGTGACGTTTTCGCTGGACATGATGATGTCGCGACACATCTCCATCATGTCAGTCCATTGGTGTGCGGCTGCCATGCGGTACATCTTCAGGCTCATCTTGTAGTCGACGAACATTTCCGCTTCTAGGAGCAGGAACTGAAACATGATTTTGTATTCTTCATCGTCACAGCGGAGGATATCTTTCTCTTTTTGCCAGAATGCCTGGAATATATGGTGTCGAAGGGAGTGGGGGATAGAGCAGAGTGTTTCTTGCGGTATCAAAAGCCGTCGCGTCCCGAGAAATACCGTCCAATCCGCTTTCCCGTCGCTAGTGCGTCGTCAGCATGTGGCTGATGTAATTTGGTTCGATTCGTGCCTGCTGAGGACATTCGGACTCAGCGCGCTTGAACTGAGCTCCTCCTTTTGGTGCACGCCTATAATCTCAGATCTAGGGAGATCTGGAATGGTGACCCAGGAGGCTTGCGTAGGCACCAGTGTAATCCACTTGACGATGGTGCTTCCCTCAGTAAAGTGTTTTGCAATGTGAGCACAGCGCTTATCTCATCCGTCATTTCGCTTCTCTAATTTCGTAATGATGTCGGCGCAGAACCCACACCAAAAGTTCGGACCGTATTTAGAGGCGACATGGCCTTTCTCGGTAACGTATTCGAGGAGAGCATGATCTCCACCAGCGTGATGCCGAGTAAGATGTTCTGCGAGCCATTCGGGTTTAGGAAATGTCAGCGCCAGCGATTCCTTCTTCAAACAAGGGAAGCATATCCAGCTTTGGGCATTGAAATGTTGATTGGTCTCATGAACCTTCCAATCCGATTCGAGATCAAAATAGTCGTCACAAGCAGTACACGAGTACTTCACTTCGGACACCATGATGCGCTGCTGTGGGAAGGCGAGACTCCCTGCGGTGGAGTTGGAGGAAAACAAAGAGTCCCGGAAGTCGAAGGTGAAGGAAGTATGCGTTCTTTCGTGTTTGTGACCGGCGCGATAGTCATCGTGGAGAGCTTGGTGTGGACGAAGTTGAATACCGAGCTGGAAAAGGAGGCATCTCTAGCAAAAGGAGAGCGAGCGGACTAGACAAGGCACTGTACGCGCCCCGCCGGAAACGGCATTCCACCCCGGTACATATGGTGTCCAACTTGTTGAGCAAATCCATGTCTGTGGCGTATGCAGTGTGTCCTTGTCTTGCCCATTCTGCATGCTCGTCTGCCCCCGAAGTTGCTCTGTAATCATGGCTTAAGGTTCCAAAACGTGCAGCCATTCATCAGTGCTCCACGCGCATCATCAAATTCCTACAGCCCAAGAAGGATGTGACGCAGGGCTATTATACGATGCGTTCAGGGCCTGCAATGCCCAATTTCATGTTTCATTTCGAAAGGCGGGCAGCATGCATGAAGACAACCAATTCCGGAGTGCGTTCGCCAGTGTCCAATGATATCCCCCTCCATGTCTCCTGCATTGTGATAAGAGTGAGAATACGATGCACCAAAAGTCTAGGGTGATCCCATATCCATTGATGGAGGCACTCGACAAGATCTACAAAATTCGAAGAAGCTTCTATTCAGTTTTGTTCGAAGAGAATTCATTGAAGGATATACGTGTCCGACGAATTCCTTTGACTGCGCTGTGTACGAGATAGAGATGTTGGAGGAGGTTGCCTTGGCGTTTGAATGGGTTTGTGGCATGGCATACGTTATATCCATGGACATTCTCAAGGTGCGCGCGTCGAGTGTCGTCCGCGATAAGTTCCCCACAATAACCGCAAGCATTCTCTTTGACGAGGAAGAGGTTCTCAGTTTTATTGATATTCTGACATGCCCAACACTCCCTAGACGAATGTTGGCGGGAGTGTCGTTGCATGTCTCCCTTCTTCTTGAACCGCTTGCCGCACTCTTCACATTTATGAGGCTTTCCAGACTCATGATTCCTGTTAACGGGTCAGTGCAAGATAATGCCTATAATAAGCTACTTACTGTAGTTCGGCTTGAGTTTCGAACCCGCGTGGCTCCTTGCAGCAAGAGCAGAACACAGGGGGGTTGAGAAGTGTTTGAAAATCCATGTCCAGGAGTGGATGCGTACGCGATTGACCTTTTCGATGCTTCGCAGACAAGATGTAAGACAGCCCAACGACTGCTTTTAAGGGTATGGGACGCAGTTGTACTTGTTGAGGTAACGAAGTGGAGTGTAACATTGTTGATTGTATGAGAGCTGAAAGCTCTGGCTATATACACTAGGCTAGCGCGATCACGTGATCAACACGTGATCCTCAACATTCCTCCCGCCAGGTGCCGTATGGCGGCTTCCGCCAACAGTACTATGGGCACGCGCGTCTGGCTGGCGCCAATGAGCGTATTGCCAAGGTCATCAACGGCCGGCTTCGGCCCAATGGTGGCTCGGGCTTCTCAATCGCTTGCTGAGAAGGATATGAAATGCCGGATGTGAAAGTGAAGCGGGGGACAGCAGCTCAAAGCTTGGGGACGCACGGACATCCAAGTCTGTTCCAGGGCGTCTATCGCCATCGAGAAGCTCGGTGATGTGGCATGGCTAGCGACCAGTGAAGAAAGGCTGAAAGGATCGCGAGTAAAGGGAACATTAGGGGTAGCTAAAGCATCCAGAAACTCTTTCTCCGGGGCTCATAGACCCTATAAGCTGCCCTGTAACAACCCAACTCTGAATCACTACTACGTGATCTTTTAGGAAGATCGCGTTTGATCGGTGAATTGCCATATCCAACGCTGAAGCCAATCACGGACCCAACCATGGAACCAAGCGCCGTATCCTCCATCTGCCTTGTCGCCTCTGCTCCTCATATGCCTGCTCATTCCCCGATTCGCTGGATTGTCCATCCACCGCCAACACTGCTCGTCCGCCCTGACAGCTCCTTGGAATCATCTGCCTGCAAAGGTCTATCAAGACCTCGTCGACATTGATACTCCATTTCGCGCTCATTTCGAAGTACGGCATGCCCGCGACGAAATCGACAGCGCGCTGACGGGAAGTGGACCGCTGCTGTTGGAGGTCTACCTTGTTTCCCACGACGACCATAGGAACCGTAAGATCTCCCTTTATGTGCTGGATGTTTTCCCGCACCTTGGTGAGCTCTTCTAACGATGATGGAGACGGTATGCTGAAAACGAGGATAAATCCCTGGCCTTCTGTTATATACCAGTCCCTGCATCGTGTTAGTACTCGGGAGCTACACGAGTATGTGATGATACCTTGGCCTCCAGTTATTGGTATCCTCCGGCTCAAAGCCTTCTGTATCTATGGTCTCAAGTAGAACCTGACGGCCCTGAGAAAGGTCAGTCGAGGCTACCCCAATTTCAATGCCGGGTTACTCACGTCTACATCGATAGCTCTTTGAAATGAGGCCTGGATAGGACTGCTGTGTCCCCTTTCGACGTTTGGTGCAAACCGCGCTTTGCGAAGTTAGCACCTCAGAATCGAAATGCTTAACGTATAGTCAACCTACCAGTCAGACAGGTCTTCCCGACTCTACCTGAGGTGTATTGTTAGGTGTCATCTATACAGTTATAACTTGAACTGACTTACTTGAACCGAAAACCACTATATTGAACTTGTATAGAGACATGCCTGAAGATATCGAAATAACGAAGCTTACAAGTCGAATGTTCAAACGCCGTAAGAGGAGCAGCAGCAGAAACAGACAAAAGATGAAGGCTGGCGACCAGCGAGACTCCTCTGAGGAGGACAAGTCACCGTAGTCCAGATCAGAATGAAGACCTGAGCCGCCAATATCGGCGATCGTCTCGCTGTACTGACTCGGGCGTACGGGGTGAGCCAGCCAGCTCATGTTGTGAACGTAGCCTAGTTTCAATGCGCCGCCCGTTCGATCCCGTGGTCACGGACGTTACGCCGCCAATGGAACACCCTTGCACACTTATCCTCGGTTTAACACCATCCCAAGAGAAGAATCACGTATCCGAATGTTTTAATAAATAGAGTATGGAAGGAGTGTCTTCTGACTAAAAGAGAAAAGAAAGAAAGAAAGAAAGAAAGAAAGAAAGAAAGAAAGAAAGAAAGAAAGAAAGACAATCCAAGCAGGTGTCCAGTTGACGGAGTTGCCGTTCCAACGACCTCACTGAGATCCCAGCTCTAGCATTTGCCCGCGACAAGAACGTAGCAACTATGTAGCCATCTTCGTGAGTGTTCCTTCTCTTGCTAGTGTGAACTTTCCCGAGTCTAATTTGACTAACACTCCTGCAGGCACACTCTTCATAGATTCCGAGATATCATATATCGCTCTATAATGTAGATGTGATGGTGGAGGCGTTGGGAGCAGCGTCGGTTGGCTCGCATGGGTGGTCTCGATGGTGGTATTTCTAGTTTCCTCGACATGAAAGATCCAATCGGCTGCCATAATTAGTATCTAGAACAAAGCGAGGAGGACTTGTATAATACCTTCCCTCATTGTTTTCGATGGCCTGTTGCGGGTCCAGTATCCAATGCGCTCCAGGAAAGATCTCATCGTCGTCATTCAAGGCCGCACTTTCGCCGCTCATCGTCTGGGACAGAACAAGAGCTAAGGTTAGCCCACATTCCAGGCCACAGTGTGACTATTTGATTTAGTACAGTAGCTTCTCGCGTAAAGATGACTGACCAAAGGGAGCTTGTCGCCATCCCTTTCACCCCAGAAACAACCGAGGAGGACTATGCCGACCAGGGTTGCGAGTCCGTAAGCGATTGCAGTGCATATGAACCTCCGATGCCTAGTTTCGACGCTGCAACCAAGGATGATTGTTGCTGCAACCGCCACACATGCGTGGAATGCGGTGCCTCCGATGAAAGCAACAAGTCGCCCCTTTCCTTCATACCAAAACATGAGGCCAACGCCTACGAGTGGGCAAGAGGTAACGATTGAAGTGAGGAGCACAAGCAGAACACGGTATAGTAACTCTTGCGGTCTCCAGAATCCGAACCAGATTTTCCACAGCATCAAGACCTGAGCTGTTGTTAGTACCTAAGGCAGCTGTTTTCCGACTAAGGAGTTGGTACATACTTCAGCACAGAACCCAGGTAACCAACACAGCTTCCAGGATAACTGAGTTCCTTGATTTCGCTCGTCCACCAGCCAGTAGACGAAGGAAGTGGCAATAAGAGCGAGATAGGAAGCCAGTAAGGACGCCAAAAGCAGCTTCCGCCTCCATAATAACGCCAAAAGCAGCTTACACCTCCATAAGAACGCCAAATGCGGCTTCCGCCTCCATGAAGGTGACGGATCTGACATCGTTGTACGGTCGAGCCAATGAGGGAAGATCGATGCAAGGGCAAAGAATGCAAGCAACGATCATGTAGAACGGGTAGGGAAAGCACCTGCAGGAGGGCAGCCGGTGAGGGAGTCTCAGTCTCGTTGGGGAGGACGTGCATGATATACCAATGAGAATCGCCCGTCGTTAGACGGATATGGAATTGTCCTTTTTGTTGGGGTAACGGGGTGGGGTGTAACATTGTGGATTGTATGAGAGCTGAAAGCTCGGGCTATATACACTAGGCTAGCTCGATCACGTGACCAGCACGTGATCCTCAACATTCCTCCTGCCAGGTGCCGTATGGCGGCTTCCGCCAACACTTTTAGGCACGACGTCGGTTACCGTGTTTCCCCACCTGACGCACAGACCCCACCTGACGCACACTTTTTAGTATCTCTTACCTCTTCTAAAATAAGAACTATAATAGATAAATAAATAAAATTTTAGTATATTATTTATATACTACTAGTAACTCTATATTAGCTTAGAAATTTTAAAAAGCTATAGTATTTAGTTAGTAATTAAGATTTAAAAATTTATTAAGTTTTTTTAAAAACTTCTAATAAATAGCTTATAAATTAATATATAAGCTTTTTTATAAAATAAACTTATATAAATACTTAATATAAATAAGTTTATATAATAATATACTTTATAAGTAAATCTTTTATATAAGTAAATCTTCTAAAAATACTAAGTAAAAGAATTAACTAGTATTTCTTAAATAACTAAGTAAAACCTTAATATTTTTCTATAAAAATTTAAATATATATAAAACTATACTATATATACTTACTATTAAATTTATACTATATATTTTCTATTACGTAAGCTTAAA